GGTGCAGAGCAGTGCACAGGTGGTGCAGAGCAGTGCACAGGTGGTGCAGAGCAGTGCACAGGTGGTGCAGAGCAGTGCACAGGTAGTGCAGAGCAGTGCACAGGTAGGGCAGAGCAGTGCACAGGTGGAGCAGAGCAGTGCAGAGTGCAGTGCACAGGTGGTGCAGAGCAGTGCAGAGTGCAGTGCACAGGTGGTGCAGAGCAGTGCACAGGTGGTGCAGAGCAGTGCAGCGTGCAGTGCACAGGTAACAGTACGTAGTGCACACTACCCTACACTGCATCACCTCATACAGCATCGCACTGTACATCATCGGCATCATATATATAATACCGCCCAAATTTCAATGCTAATCAGCATCAATTTCTGACAACCTCAATGTTTCCCTTATCACTTACTGCATTGCCGAGTGGTGATCATGCCAAACTATAAATAAATTTGATTCATATCTCTAATAATATTATCAGGATAATAACTTACAGCAGCAGTTTCATATAGATATAATAGCGTCAAAAACAATGTCGAGCGCTCACACATCGAAGACTAAACACACAATTTACATATGAGGCTCGTACTACAGATTACATTTTAGTAAAGCAATAAGTTTTTTTTATGACTAATTTTTTCTTATGACTAATACGTCATAAGAAGAATTAATTGGTATAATTAAATAAATATTAAATAACAGTGTAAAGGAAGCACGACGTACGTCGACGTTTGAGTGAAGCTCGTCTGCTCGGCAGGAAGCTTCAGGCCGCGCGTAATTAGTGAAGCAGAGCCAGCGTAGCAAGCCATCAATTAGTATTAAGAGCTGCAGTAAAGAGCAAGCATTGAGAGCTGCAGTAAAGTGCANTAATACAATTTTAAATACTGCAAAAAGAAAATAAATGGAATTTTTATAGCGGAACCTACAAATAAACTAGTATATATTGAGTTATCGGCCTTTTTTGGCCTTCTTTGTTCTCGGATTTGGCCGATTTTAGGCAACCTGAATTATGTACCACTACGTCCTGGAGAAATACATTTCGTGGTACGCACATGTACCACTTCGGAGTCAACGTGTTAAGAACTGCAGTACAGTACCATTGCTGCGGTAGCCACAAGCACACTGCAACTCTACCCTCCAGGCCATGAAGCGATGCTTAATATGCGAGCTAACACATTTAGCCTTCGTATGTCATTACGAATTACCGTGGGGCATAGTTATGCACTAATGTCAAGCTGGATTATGTATCCGTGATTACTATGGTAATCGCAACGTGTACAGTATGCGGTGCAATGAACAATGGTAACGTGCAGGAATATACGATGAAAATGGAATTGGGATCATTCGGCAATCCGTTGCGAATAATTTTCCAGCTGTGCATCCATTAGTGTTGTACGGTCTTGAGACTCTTTATGATGGATATTTGCTTCAATATATTCAACTTAAACGAAATAAATTTCAACGTGATAAGCAAAATTCAACTGTCATCTCGCAAACAAAACAACGCAAAACAGAAAAAAACTTCACATAGTGAATCCTAAAAACCGAGAAAATCTTTAGTTCAAACAATAGAATTGGAAAATAAATCGGCCGAAAGTCAAATACTTCTCATGTCGGAGTCCAACTCAAGTTCAGGAAGTGACGCTAGAAAGGGAACAATATTAGGATATATACTGTATATTAATTAAGCCAGCAAAAGAGGCTCTGATATAGTTTCCAAAAAAACCAAGCTGTGTACCCGCACCTTAAAGTCACCGGGGTATGCGTAAATTATTGCGTATAAAGTCATTCATCGCCATAAATCCGCACAAGAAACACACAAAAAAGATATCAATAAATCTATCATTAGGAAAATGCACCAAAATGAACATTTCAAAAGCATGATGCCTGAATTTTTGGAAAGCATATCAAGTCGTGGGATGCTTTGGCCCAAAATCCCATAGTAATTACAGCCGAGTAGGCAACAAACGAGGTACCGATCATTAGATTGAACACCACAGATAGCGGAAAAAACGCGTTTTGGGTCTTAAATAGGTTGTAAGGTGTAATTAGTTAAGAGCGCAAAACACTGTGGCCAAATAAACTCTTGCATTCATTAAATTTTGGTTGAGCTGTAACATGATGTATCTTAAGAAAACTTCTTACTATCCCCACAACGTTAAAATGAATTGTTTTATTTTCATAATCTTAGCACTTAAATAAACAGATCATAAAGAAACTCTCAAAATTCACTGTCAAAGTGATATCTAGATCATTAGAAATCAAGCATACGAAATCATGTCCAAAAAATTTTATCTGCGTTTAGATAGACCGGCCATCCATTAACACAGATCTGGTCGACAAGGGGTCGTCCTTCAGAGTTCTATAAGATGAACGCATATTTCAGACTGCTCACCAAGCGATAATTAACAAATAAAATAGTATAATACTATTTTATTTCTTAATTATGACCGCCGAGATGTTATGAATTATTTGTTAATTAACATGAGCACCGAGCTGATAATTGACAAATAAAAAAATAAGGACTTGGTCACCAAACCGAAAATTGGTAAATAGAAATATAACTCAGTACTCACTGCAGTGAGTGACAGAGAGCGCATTTTCTCGTCGGCGAAAACGTGAAGTCACGGACGGACGGACGGACAGACGGACGGACATGACGAGCACAATAGTGCCTTTTTTCCATAAATTAGAAAATGCGCAAAAAAATATGAAATACCGCAGGACCGCCATAAAACTGAATCGAGCTCACAGGACCGAGGCGCAATTAAATCACGTAAAAGTGAAGTCACTATCATCGATCCCAGACTTACAGTGGGGGGGAATAAATATTCGTACACTTGAAAAATCGTATTTTAATGTTTAAATAAACAGATCATAAAGAAACACTCAAAATTTACTGTCGTCACCAAGCCGATAATTGGCAAATAAAAAATATGAAGTACCGCAGGACCGCCGCAAAACTGAATCGAGAACACAGGACCGAGTCGCAATTAAATCACGTACAACTGAAGTCACTATCATCGATCCCAGACTTAGTACCAAAAAAATCTAAAAAATGTCTTTACTTGCCACTGACTATTCGAATTCAATCACGCGCTGACTTTGGCCAGAGAATAAAGCGAAATAAAGCTGTACATGACACGTGTTTAAGCGTCGCAAAACGGGGAAGTAACGATATAAAAGGAATAACGGCGCACGCTTGTCAATACAGCGTTATTTTAATTACAGCTACAAACGCAAGGCGGCCGTGAGCCGCAGCCACGGCCTGAGCAGATTAGAAGAATCTTAGGCAGGGAATATTGAATGTCAATGATGGCTTTCAATCAGACTNGAGCCGCAGCTGCGGCCTGAGCAGATTAGAAGAATCTGAGGCAGGGAATATTGAATGTCAATGATGGCTTTCAATCAGACTGTAGACATGCACCACTCTCCAGACAAGTGACGTTGGAACAATGCTTATTTTTTATTTAGTTGAAACAGTGTTTATGTAGTAAACGTTGACTTTACGTTAGATATCTAGGGAAACTAGTAGTTTCGGCAGCGCTTGTTAATTCTGATTCTAATAACGATTAAAAAACTGGTTAATCTAATAAAAATATATTTTTTGAGGCTTTAATTTTTCATATTTTGACTAGAATCACGGAATACCTAACGTAAACGCGATTTCATACATCTGCCAACGTGAGTATGAACCGAACGTGTATATGAACTGGCACAGAAACCGTCGCAGAAACAACATAAACACGGAGGTCGAGTGATACGGGCTGTAACGTCTAACATCGTCGCGGAAAATTTATTCAATAAGCAGCAATGAATATTCAGTACACATAAAACTACCTGCACACGCAAGTACTATATTCACGACTGTACCAAATCATCGGTTTTTGTCGGTGGTTGGTAAAAAATCGAACGTCGCTTTCACGAATGTAAAAACCTTGCTAGACATTCATAGTCTATATATGAGCGTAAATCATTGATACACGAAAGCATTTATTTCTCTATATTGTCTGCAAATATTTCATGATTTGCCTTAAAACAATTATTTTTTTCAATGTCACGCATGCGGATGCAACGATCCAGTCTTGATTATTGGCTGATACGAAGTGCTGAACCGATGATGTGATGAGCCAATGGTGGGTTCCCAACTCACCAATACAAATTCTGAAGGAGTCCAGTTCTTTATATGAGCTTTGTTTCCTTGTTCTAATTGAAGCAACGTTCCAGCTTTATAGAAAATCCCTTCATTGCTAAGTTTTTCATATCTCATAATTTTGCAAATCGGTTCGTAATGTGCATCATTGATGCTTTATCTATTACTTGGAATTTCTTCTCAACAAATTATGTTGTTTGTACGAGAACCTGAAGGCAGATGAAAACAATATGCAAAATTATTTCCGAGCTCTTGCTGCAAATTAGTGTAGTGGATATTACCGATCGATTGATATCAACTCGCAAATGTAGAAATTTTGAAGAAAGATTAACTTGCACTAATTAAAATAATTAACAAATGATCATCAATGAATGGCAAACACATTTCTCGTTCTTTTTCCTATCTACAAGTTGTGACTTCTAATGATAGAATATGAATTGTATTTTCTTTGAAATGAAAAAATAAAACTTCTAATGATAACCGTTTTCCCGCCACTTCGGCATGGATGATGCACGCTCTAGATTTCTAGGAACAAATTAAGTACATGCAAAAATACTGAGAATTTATTCTCCACTGAGACTTGAAGAAACTTAATAACTGGAACCTTAAATGCCGCTCCTTGGGACGATTGACCAATTTTTGTTCAATTTACTCAAAGCGAACATGTTAACAATTCAGAACACTTGCCTCGATGAGTGACAGAACAAACGAGTGCTGAATATAAGTAATAAACTTTACTCTGAATAAAAAATTAATAACAAAGAGAATATGAACTTCAATGACCGATGGTGCAGAGCAATCAATGACCAGCTTGTGTCGTGCGTGCCGGCGCACGAACCGCAGCATCAAGCGCATAAACAAAGCCCGTACTCGGGACGGTCGTTATACGCACAGTACACGATGCTCGGTCACGCTATGCATGCCCGCCTTGATAGCAGGCTTGGTTTAAGGCCAAAAGGTTACCATGAATCGATGGCTATTGTCTGCAGATTTTATGGTATTTATGTAGCAACTTTAACTGGTACAGGTAAAATTTTTTACTGGTTCAGGCAGAATTAGAGTATCGCGCAACAAAATTTTCATAGTGATTTTTTAGATCAAACGATGA